ACGGGTAATTCCCGCGGGGGACGCTAGTGTATAAACACGGGTAATTCCCGGGCGATTCCGAATGGTGATCGCGAGTCCCCCTTACTGCCTACGGGTTTGGTACGGGTAAGGTGGACAAATCGGATATTTGCCTAAAAGTCCGTAGAGTTGGCTCAGATAATTCCCGAGGGGGCCGCCGTTACGTGGGGGCAGATAATCCCCGGCGTATTCCGAACAGTGACCGCGAATCCCCCTTACTGCTGCTGCTATAGTGAGTTGAGGCAGGGAATGGAATAGAATAGACTAAAACACTGCATCGTCTTTGCTATAGTAGGCAGAGGCAGGGAAAGGAATAGACTAAAACACTTCATCGTCTTTGTTATAGTAGGCAGAGGCAGGGAAGGGAATAGACTAAAACACTGCATCGTCTTTGCTATAGTGAGCAGAGGCATGGAAGGGAATAGACTAAAACAATGCATCGTCTTTGCTATAGTAGGCAGAGGCAGGGCTTGCTTCTGTGATTGTTGTTGAGGTTGTTGTTGTTGTTGAATCCTACACCTTATTTTTCCAGATACTTATTCTCAAACTTCATCAATCATATCAACGATGACTACGTAAAGGATCTTGGAAATGAAATAACGATGTAAGTCAGGTTAGCTATCAAGTGGCATTCATTGATATTATAGACGTGCTGCATTGCTGCGTCTTACAATTTTATAAACGCGAAGCGCGCGCATTCTTGAAGGCAAAACGAGTGAGGAACTCGATAAATTTTATATAGAAAGACTGCGTACAAACCCTTTCCCTTCTACACCGCCCTGGGGGAAAAACGGCTAAATATCCTATGCATTTCCTGAGCGCGCTTACTTTGGTTTTGGTAGACTTTAATGGTGAGTTATTGGTGAGTTAATAACAAATACGGAAAGTTTCAGAGAAAAATGCAACTAAATGGACAGTAAAAGTCAATGGCTATATAAAATATTAGCTAGCGCTAATCATTAGTGGCATGCGCGAGCATTTCTGTGAGCAAAACAATCTCGTAGGAATGTAATCAATGGCAACTGGTTATATAGTCTACTACGCAGTCGTTCTTAGTGTCTGTCACGCAACGTTTTCTTCCCCACGAAGGGAAAATGTTGTGTGAAACTAAGCAAGAACATCTGCGTAGAAGTTATACTGGGTCTGCTTATTCTGCGTGTTATTTCTTTGCTCATCTTTAACGTTTGACAGGATTAAGTAGCCGTATAATACACTGATTCAAACAAAAGATATCATGCGCAAAAAATTTTGCTATCAACACCGATTTACAATCAATAGAAACCCAATCGTAGAATATCTATTTTTTGAGTATTTCGTAATTTATGACGACCCACTTTCAGTTTATTTTGGTTACTGAAAGTTCTCAATTGCATATACACTGATGTTTTCTTGCTTTAGAAATCTCGATTGCAAAGACCTTGCAGATCTTCCACGAATACAAAATGGGAAAATGTGAGTCATTTGATATTAGATAATAATTTTGGTATATATCTGATTCACTCGCAAAACATAACTTAAAATTCAAGTGAATTACTTTCAGAAGAATGACTACTCTTCAGGCTAGCTCCAATCTACACTAAGTCTCGATCTTTGATCACTTTATACATATCATTTCACAGTTCCTTTTATCATCTTAAAAGGTAGCCGTGCCTTTGTTTCGAAGCAAGACGAACGGTGAGCTTGCAATGATATGTGAACAATTGTTCAAGGTGTTAAATAAAGGTCTCTATCATTGCAAACTTATCGTTCATTTGGCTTCGATGCAAAGGAACAGCTACCTTTCAATATGGCGCAGGGAACTGTGAAGGGGACTATTCTTTAGAAGCCCTGCTTTCCTTCAGTGAACCTGAGCCAAAAATATGTATATACTATTATTTTCTTAACAGCGCATGTACTCCACATTCGTTAGGAGTGATTAAACGATTGCCTAACTCGATCGCCCAAACCCTCTCAACATCAGGGTTCACGTGCACATTGCATTCAGAAAGCAATTATTATTGTAGTTTTTGCAAGGCTGGCACGTTCGGTAATAGCGATGTCAGTGATCACAGGGGATGTATAACATGCTCAGCTGGTAAGTTACTCCGAGACAATTTTAAGTATGTCAGTTACAAATGCTACACGTTTGCTATAGATCCTTTTACTGACTGCGACCATCTTGAATTATGTATATGGGGTGCCGGAAGCAAACCCGGGGGGGACTCTCTTGAAAAGTGGGTAGGGGGGCTCGACGGACGGTTTTGAAAATGACCCTAAAAGGTTCGCATAAATTAACTGAGATGCTGATTTCAGACCCTAAAAGGTACGAGCACATTTAAATGACAACGTTTCCAACCATTATATTCTCGTATGACGTTTGATATTTTTCAAAACGAACAAATCTGACCCTAAAAGGTACGGAGTCAGCCGGGAGTCAGCCAGAGACCCTAAAAGGTACGCGAGGTCTCATTTTTGACCCTAGGAGGCCCGTCGAGCCCCCCTACCCACTTTTCAAGAGAAAACCTAAAGCCTAAAACCTCGTCCAATTTTGAAAACTTTCAAAATATCACTCGTATAAATAAATTCCGAATTGTACCAAAAGATCGTTCGATTTCCTATACAAATTGCTTAATTTGAAGCATCCAGTCAGATCTTATGTTAGTGATCCATTGTATACCAGCAGTTTCGTTGTTTGTGGCGTTCACAATCATTTCTCATTATTTAGGTGGATTCTATCAAGACGAGATTGGAGAAACAAAATGTAAGGAATGCACTATGGGAACTTTCGTACACCCAAACAACACACCGGCAACTACACCACTATCGTGTCAGGCCTGTCCACAAGGTAAATACCAGTGTGTATATGTAGGTTTACCACATTTTCTCGTTTTCTCATTGGTCGAGAGTCTGTCCACAAGGTAAACACCACAGCGTATATGTAGTTTTACCACATTTTCTCGTTTTCTGGTTGGTCGAGAGCCTGTCCAAGGTAAACACCAAAGTGTATATGTAGTTTTACCACATTTTNTTTACCACATTTTCTCGTTTTCTGGTTGGTCGAGAGCCTGTCCAAGGTAAACACCAAAGTGTATATGTAGTTTTACCACATTTTCTCGTTTTCTGATTGGTCGAGAGCCTGTCCACAAGGTAAACACCACAGTGTATATGTAGTTTTACCACATTTTCTCGTTTTCTGATTGGTCGAGAGCCGTAGTAAATAAGAAGACACGCCAATAAATTATGTCAAATTACGAATAGGTCACTCACGGAGCGCGCACTTGAAACTTTTTTTTTCAAACTTATTTACCTCTTATTTACCATTATATGACTTTAACGGTTTGCCAAAACTAGTTATTTGCTTATCTACGCCTCGTGAGTGCATAACCTTTTGACCAACTGTTGATGCCATACCGTGGTAAATAATAGAATATACCACGCTAAACCATCCGAAACGTTTTAATTGTACATCAGTCAGACCTGGTACAAAAGCAAGAAACGTTTCACCAATGCATGCTCTTTGTTTCCGATTCAGGGACACAAACAAGCGAGAAGGCTGGATACAGAGCTTGCAAGTGCTTACCAAACTTCTACAGGTTTGACCGGTTTGGAAGGTGTTTACCCTGCCCAAGTAAGGGCTATAAATGCAAAAATGACTACGCTAGTCTGTCGACAGGTTTTTTCTGGAGATGGGAAAATAGCACTTTTGAAATAAACTACCGCAAGTTTATCGCAAATCTCATGGTTGAGAGCCCTGAGTTTGCAGAAGGAACATGGAAATACGAAGGAACTCTACCTAGTCCCCACAAGTGTCCACGTGACTCCTGTTTAGGAGGCCTGAACTCTAGTTGCCAAAATGGTTACCAAGGTCCGCTGTGCGCACTTTGTGAACAAGACTATTACAACAAGATGAACAGGTTTGTTAGATTGATGGTTTCTTTGTGTGTAGGTGTCATCAAACATTCAGTAGTTTTTTCATTTACATATATTTATCATTTTCAGGGCTTTCTGATCTTGGATCGATCCTTAGGGAATATGATGTTGCAATTGAAAAATGACCATTTGCTCAAGTTAATGTTTCCTCACTGGCTCCATTTCGTAACCGTTTCTAACTTTTGAAGTATTATTTAAATTACAGATGTATCCGCTGTCCATCCAGATTGTGGGCAGGGTTTCAGGTTGCTATAGTGATCGTCCTTTTTGTTGGCGTCCTTCTCGCTCTTTTATGGGGAGACAGAAAGAGGCTAAAGAAGGAAAAAAATCGAACCATTGCAGACAAGATATTATCTTGTTTTAAGATTGTCGTTGGCTTTTATCAGGCAAGTAGAAGTTATCATTTCAATCTAGCCACCTTTACAGGAACAGGGAATCATGAGGGGGTTGAAACGCGGAGGATCCTCTGAGACGCCGCCATCTTGAATCAAGCTTAAAATTCCTAATATGGTATCCTATTTTGCATAACTGAATATTACGGAGCTGCGTTATAGTGATACACTTTTCAATCTCTTTATGAATTTTCGTTTGGAATGAATAACTTCATTTAAGTTTCCATGAACTTCTAGTCGAAGAAAATGAAATTATCTTACCAATAGAGGACACAACGAAAAGAACTATATCATGGAACCGTCTCCTCATTAGACGCTAGCTGGTTTACTCTCTATAATACTGAGCTTTCAATTCCCCCAAAGGGTTACATTTGTCCCGTAGACGGGCTAAAGTATTCCACAATAGACCCTTTTCGAGTTCCAAATTACTGCTGTGTTTCTTGATTACAGACTCATTTACTCAGGCTAAGCCTCGGATTTTGTGGAAAATATTCACGTTTTCCAGTCAAGGTCCGTCAAGTTTCAAAGTGTTTGTATTGTTGAAGTTGAGCATACTTTCCTGACCGTTGGTATTTGCGAGTAATTAGACACTGATTCGAGGCTAGCCTGAGTAAATGAGTCTGTAATCAAGAAACACAGCGGTAATTTGGAACTCGAAAAGGGTCTATTGAGAAATATCTTCAAAAAGTGGCTCAACCATCCTCAGAAGAGGCTGATATTTTCCCTTGAAGGACTTTTGTCAGAGGCGTAACCAGGGAGGATCTTGCAGGGGTGGGTGCACAGGGAATGGAAATGGAAGTTGCCAAAACTAACAGTAATCTTGAGAAGTGGTATCATTATATTCCAAGGATTTGCAGAACAATAAAAAATTAACAACATGCGACAGAAATTGCATGGAGCATGGAGCGTGTAACCTACAGCGCAATTTGAAAAAACAAATTGCGAAACAAGTTTAGGAAATGTGTGTAAATAGTTCCTTTATAAGACTAAAGGTTCAATTCCATAAATATACTAAAAGTCCCCATGATTTCAGATTGTTTATATCATTCAAATTTCGCTTTCCAGGTAATGGCAGGAGTATATTCTGCTTTCTCTAACATAGCCTGGCCATCCTCGGTTGTTTGGATGCAGAAGATTCTTCACTTCATACAACTAAACATCCTACAGATAGCTCCTCTCAGCTGTATTACTTCTCGGTTATCCTTTAACGTACTGCAGCAGTTTGTCATTGTTGTTGCTTTGAACATCATCGTTGTCACCTTCTTTCTTATCTATCTTATGATAAGAATTGCAATACTCAAGAGAAAGAAACGAAATCAAATCGACCAACAAAATCCAATCGACCAACAAAATCCAATCGATGAGCCGGCTTATATCGACCATTCGGTGGCCAAAACCAAGAGTTCATGCATTCGTAACATCTGTGTCTTTCTGTTTGCTACGTATCCAAAGACCTGTACAAGTATTATTCAAGTTCTTTCCGTAAACTGTGTACAGCTGTGCTTCGAAGAAGAGCACGCGTATTGTGTTTCTTATCTCAGAAGCGACCTCTCTGTCCAGTGTGGTTCTCCCGAACACAACATTTTCTCACGTATTGCCATAGCTTTCCTTATTTATCCGATTGGGTTTCCTGTGGTAATTCTGTTTCTCGTGTGGAAATATATTCACAAGCCGTCGTCAGGGGTGGCTAACGAAAACAACGAAGAAATCGATTTGCCAGCAGTGGCCGAGTCCTCAAACACACCCGTACCTCCTCCAACAGAATCCCCATTCAAATCTGGTCTTCGTTTATTCAGCGAGAACTATGATTCGAATTGTTGGTACTGGGAAGGTTTGGAGATGATCAGGAAGCTGATTCTCATTTCCGGTCTGACGCTGATTGGTGAACACAGCCGCACACAGATTGAACTTGGCGCCATCATATCTGCTGTATTTGCTATTCTTTATGCCTATAAACGTCCCATCACTAACAAGTTTGAGAATATTCTGCAGTCGGTGGCTCTGATGGCGATATTTTTAAACCTTGGAATTGGTGTGATGCTCAAGGCATCAGACAATGACAAAATGTCACCAGTTATCAACAAGCATAACGACAACCTGTTCGTGTCTATCATGATGATCATTATCAATGTTGCTGTCATTGGTATAGTGACAGGTGAGTATGGATATCTTAGTGTAGATCATCGTATTGATAAAGTGGGCGTGTCTATCGTGATCATCATCAATGTTGTTGTTATTAGTATAGTGACAGGTGAGTATGGATATCTTATCGTAGATCATCGTATTGATAAAGTGGGCGTGTCTATCGTGATCATCATCAATGTTGTTGTTATTGGTATAGTGACAGGTGAGTATAGATATCTTAGTGTAGATCATCGTATTGATAAAGTGGGCGTGTCTATCATGATGATCATCATCAATGTTGTTGTTATTAGTATAGTGACAGGTGAGTATAGATATCTTATCGTAGATCATTGTATTGATAAAGTAGGTAAGTCAGTCATGGCATATTGGCTAAATGGCGAGTATAGCTTTGTCATTAAATCTAAGGTTGGTGTGTGTCGAAGAGATCATCGTATACTAAATAAATACAACTGCCATTTGCATTGTCATGTTGAACTGATAGGTATATTTTTAGTTGCTTGGTGTGTGTCACGCTGATATCATGATCACATAAATCTCTTTTTGTAGTTGCTGTTCTCAAGGTCATTTGGCAGGCATTAATAGAGAAATGCTGTAGGGCTGCTAATGAAGATAACTGCAGCTGTGGTCATTGCTGCAAAGGATGCCTTAAGTGCTGTCGAATCCTACTATTGCCTTTTAAGATGGGAAGTTACAATTTCACGAATGTCGACCATGAGCCACGTGACGAACTTCTGCAGCATGCCATAAATGATTGAAACTATAATATTTTGGTTGTACAAGTGTACACCAAGACGAAGTCCCGTTTCTCATGAAAATATAGTTAAATGAAATATAAAGTATAATTAAACATACCATTGAAAATTGCAAGATAATTAGTTATGGGACTTAATCACACGGCGGCCATATTTATCCTCATGAGAATAAAAAAACCTTTGTTTAATCAGCATAAATTTATTACAACTACTTGAATGCGAGGTTACGCGTGGTGGAATCTAGAGCAGTTTTCGTATGACTGTGAAAAGTTCAGTGCCGTAAGCATGCCTTGCTATGACCGTTATGTTTCTAGGATTTTAATTAGCGGATTTTTTTTCTGGCGCAGTGTGATTAGTTTGACAATGCCTTGACCTTAGCGTCACTTTGTCCGTAACTTGATTGTGCCGTGTTTCGGGCAATTGATTAGATACAGAAGAGATTCTCCTGCAATGTGATTTGTCTGGCGTATACCTTGCCGTGTTCGTGCCGTGAGCTTTTCACAGTCATAGGAAAACTGCTTTATTGTACGCAGAAATGTTACGCCATGTCGTACCTTGCACGTGCTGTAAGACAGTACCGTACGCTTCCCACTCGTATGATAACCATTCTTATGGGAAGCCATTTCAATGTTAAGGCATGTCGTAATTTTAAAAATGCATAACACAAGACGTTTTTCAGTCATGTAGTGATGTTGTGAGCGTTATCCTGTATGAGTGGCCGTGTCGTATACGATATATAATATATCGTATACAACACGGCCACTAAAGAGGCATGCACTTGGATGAAAATTAGAAACGACTTGGATCTTGGTTAAACTTATTCATATGGCCCTAATAGTAGCCAAGACACATATTTTCTTCATAGTCAAACGTTGTAGATATAAATGTTTTTTCAGCATCGAAGTTATGAGTAAATGACGTCATTTACTCAACCCTATTGTTCTTTTAGTTTTTAAACCAAAGTTTCCTTACTGCAAGTGGTTCCAAAGCAAATCTTTCGTTAATATAGCTTTCATRATAGTAATTGAATCATATTATCCTCAAATATTTGAATTATTTCAAAAAACGGGGCGTTTTCATCCAAGTGCCCCTTTAGCAAACGTCTAGGTTAGTTCTTTTTTGTTTCACTAAGATTTTCGAGATAAAAGTTTCGTATTGTGTTTTCCTCATTTATTATTAATGAGTTCATTAAAACTTTGTAGAAATTCGAGGGAATATGTCTTTCGAACGTGCACTAGCCCAACTAAACAGCACTGAAATGGCTTTAAGAACTTGCTACAAGGTTCTATTATAAACTTTAACATAATTTATGTCAACGTTCTCAGAAGTAAACATGCACGCGCAATTACTAGATTGAAAAGCAAAGAAAGCTGACACCTATTAAATGCAACTAATGTTTTTTTGCCTGCATTCTGGTGTGAGTTACTATAACATATATGTCATTTACCGGCCAGGAGGTCCGAATAGGGAAAAACTGTGCCCGAGGTCTTGAATATACGTTATCAAGGCCGAGGGCACAGTTTTTCCCTATCCGGACCAACTATAGGACGGTAAATAACTTATTTATTTTTTCCCATATATAGATATAGATATAGATATTACTTGTTTTTGTAATTGTTTTGTTGTTTAGCGGCAAAGGATACCGGACCGCGAGCGCGGGCAGATACTTACGAAATACCGCCTGCTCAAACAGCCAATCAGAACGCACGATTTTTTAGGATACCGGACCGGAMAAAATAAAAAAATATACTTCACTTCGACTTAAAAAAAGTATTCCGGTGTGCAACTCGAAACTCCTGAGTCAACAATGTTTGCAAAATTTTAAAACGTTTTGGATTCTTTAATAATTATCAGCTCAAGCGAACTTTTCAAAACAAAGTGTGTTTATGATAAGTAACTTCTTATTTAAACATTTTTTAAATAAAATTGAACGATAAAAACATGTTTAAAATGTGACGACGTTTCGAGTTGCACAACGTCATTAGGGCCCTTAAGTTGCAGGACGGCAACGACGACGACGACGGCAAACATACAATAGCACTAATTGCGCTATCCAATAGATACTCTTTGGAATGTACGAAATACTGTGCATCATTGCCGTCTTATGCAGAAAGGAAGACGTGAAATGTCCTATTTTTACGTACTTAAGAGAACGGCTACGCCAWAAGCTTATCTCTACTGATTTTCGTTWTGAAGTAAAGCGCTCCCAAAAGACGTTATTTCACTCTAARACGGGGATTCTTATTGAGTAAAATACTAGGTAAACACGAAATAATAATACAGTAGAAGTTTGAAGCACTTCAATTTCGCCCACGTTGTCGCCCACGTTGTCGCCCACGTTGTCGTCCTGCAACTAGAAAAGTAGAATGTATATAGAAATAATAACAATAAATATAAAAATAGATAAAATCAGACAAAACGTTTGGCACRTATGGAATCTGATCRTACATTCAAACAAGGTTTGAGTTGTTTGATCAGCAACATCTCATTAATGAGACAGTCAAATCTGTCTTTGCACTTATTCAAAACTGAATTGGCTGTCTCTCAAGAGACCATGTTCTCGGGCGTGTTTTCCAATAGATGACATAGCACCTTGTGTTCCTCTACCCTCTCGTGTAAATGTCTCGTTGTGTAGCCCACATAATCCGCATCACACAGATCACATTTGTAATAGTAAACGACACTGTGTTGATTCACAATAGAAGGTCTCTCTTCTTTAAGCTTAAGGATTTGCTCCTTAAACCTAAAGAAGAGAGCCTGTTTTAGACGTTGTATTTAAACCTCTAATTTTAAACTAACGATAAGAGCACAAATGCAAGTTGTTAAACAATTAGCTCAACGCAAGCACTTTAATCAGATTTCTTCCTAAAAAAATTCCCTTGCTYGTACTTGCGTTTGCCCGCGGTTTGTTTGTACAAATCATGAAAAAAAGTTCTTTACTACCCACATGACTTCGAGATGCACGCTAGTCTTCTGCTTTGGTAAATAAACAAAACACRTAATCGGGCTATTCTGAATTTGATAAAAGAAATCATGTGAAAATTTGTTGCACATTAGCTAGCGAAAACGTGAAAATTGCTGTTATTAACAAAATATTAGACTTGCAAATCAATTCTCAAAGCTTAAACCAAGGCTTTAGTCAGCCGATTAACAAGTTTTGCTGRAGTTTTAAGCAATGAAATGCCTCAAAACAGCGTTATGGATAAGCTTCGTCAACTACTTATTCTTTTCTGTAGACACCCAAGGTATGGTTTTTAGCATATAGCTAGGTAGTAGCAAATATTTCAGCAAATACTCGGTCTAGAATTTAAATTAAGTGAAATCTTACAAAGAGTAATGAAATACTTCAAAACAGCGTTATGGATAAACTTTGCCAACTATTTAATTATTTCCTGTAGACACCCAAGATATAGTTTGTAGCACATAGTTAAGAAGTAAAAGAGRTTTCAGCAAATACTGTCTAGAGATCAAATTAAGTGAAATAYTAAGGYCGGTTTAGACTGTACGATATTCGCCTACAACTATCGTATACAACGGCGCTCGCGCATTTCTACAACTCGAGTCGTAGCGTGTAAATCAAGCCTACAACTCGCCTAAGACAGACGCGAGCGTGTTGTATGCGATAGTTGTCGGCAAAAATCGTACCGTCTAAACCGGCCTTTACAAAGCAATCGATGCATCTTCAGAAGAGCTCCAAAAGTTTGGTTTTTTGGTTCTGCCAATCATATGACATAATGACATAATGACATAATGAGAGTTAAGTTAAAGACAGTTTTGAGCCCCTATAGGTTTCATTCCTTCCCGAATGAATGCAGTTGAGGAGCTCTGGGTACTAGAACAGTAGCCGATATTTGCAATTCCARGGTCGAGGAAAAAGCTGGGTCGAGTAGCATTGCAGTACATAGTGGGACGGTTTGAGTGGACCAAAATAAAGTCATCTTGGAAATATGCCCACTACAACAATCCCACAATGCACTGCAATTTAAACTCCACCTAGTCTTTTCCTCAACCTCGGAAAGRCTARAATTAACTTCCCGTGTGGCCCCTTATGGCTCCTTGCTCAAAGTTGAATCAAATGAGACAACTTGAAATGATTTATCGGTCGTAACAAAACAGTGAATATCAATAAGAATAGATGGTACTTCTTCTTTTCTTTACTCTAGTCCTTTTTCTTCGTTGTTTTTCTTGTTGTCTTTTTAGTATTTCTTGTTGCTGTTGTCGTTCTTCTCCTTCGGCTTCGAATGGTGTCCTGTTCTTTCTCCTTTTCTTCATCTTCGTACTCGTTATTTATTGTTAACGAATCACCTTCTTTAATCTCATTATTATTCCAGCTACCAAGCCAATAGATGATTTGTTACAAGACCTGTTTGAAGAAGAGAATTGCAAAGAGAAGAAAATGCCGAGTAACTGTGGCATATCCAATAACTGCACACACGTGTCATGCAGTACTAACATTTCTACTTCTCAAGCTACGGTTTCTATAATAATCCAGCGCTGTAGGGATCCTGTTGCTATAACTACCGTTGTCAAGGTAAAAGAGTGGCTTTAACGTCACTCACAGTTATAATTTATTCACCCCACATGAATTTTGATTTGACTTAATGAGCTTCAAGTCAAAAGTACCAAAACTTGTATTTTTGTCTCAAATGAATTATTAATTAATTTAAGAAACTTTTTTTTTAAATTGCTTGAATGAACACAAATCGTTTTTTTTTTTTTTTTCCTTGTGTAGTTAGGCCCCGTCCACACGTATTTGGAAATGTTTGTATCCGCAAATTTATTTTTGCGGAAACGAAAATGTTCGCGTCCTTACGCAGCGTATTCGAATGGTTTTCACTGTCCACAAGTATGACCACATGATCCGCCCTGATGCACGCTAGTGTCTAGTCCCTTTGACGGATAGTTTTTCATATTGAGCATACGTAAAATCGTGTTTACTTCATCGTACTCGAAGATTTGCGGATACGACCGCTCACACGTATCCCTATTCGGAGCGTATTCGAAAATTTCCACTCTGGAGACCGTTTTCGAAAATTTCCGGATACGTGTGGACGGGGCCTTAGGTTTCCTTTTTATCCTTAGCAGTTTCTTTCCTACAAAAGATATTTTCCTGTGTAGTGTCGTCCAGGGGATTTCAGGGAAAACGATTGACCAATCGAATCGCGAATCTTGTTTTMGGGTATACGGCATTTTAAAAGCATCGCCGTCTTTCCTTTTTTTTTATTATTTTTTTATTTCTTTTTTAATTTCATTTTTATTTGTCTTTTCGAATTGAACATTAAATTAGGTGACAATAGCAATGAATACATCTAACTTTTTTTTTTATTTACTGTGGCTTTTTTCATTATTTACAAGTAATATTTAATAGATAATTACTGAGGCACGCAGCATTCGTAGGTATAATGCAGGCAGCTGAGGGCGAAATTTGTGCAATTTCAACTGATAAGTTGTGCTGATGATAGAATACTTTTTTTTACATTGTTACATATATATATATATTTATTTATTTAAATCTTATTATTACATTTTCAACAACTTATTTTTAAAAACTCATTGTTCGTAATACTTAACAATTATTCGCCGAAGGCGAAGTGAATATCGGTGAATATTTACCGAGACGCGAGTCTTCGAGCRAATGCGTTCCTAATCGTATTCTRGCGAAACAWAAAATAGATCGATTTGTRCAARTGTAAACAGCAARAAAAATAAGAAAAAGMGACAGTTAKTTTCACATAAGTGCCTAGATCTAGAAGCAATGAACCGCACTCACTATATTCTTCGTTTGCACGTTACGTAATCGCGGCCATATTGGTGCCATTTAACAAACGATTTCTCATTAGCATCCATTGTTAACGGCACCACAATGGCCGCCATGTTTTTGTCTTTTGCCTCTCTTGGGAATGCTTGCAATCCACGCACTAAATCCGTGAACATTGATTAGTACTAATTAGTACTATTTCATACAGAATCCTTTGCTTTCTATTGTTTATTTATCACCATTTACTACTAAAAGTTAGTATCTGTTTCACGGGTTTAGTTCGTGCACTCTATCTGGTTTTGTATCTACATATCTTTCAAGGAAAAGAAAAGAAATCATATAATCTACCAAGGGACACTGTTAATGGCGAATCCTAACACTTGGAAACACTTTCCTCTTAATTCTCTTACTCGTAGACCATAAATTATTGGRTTAATAAAGGAAGCTAACTGGACAAATGTCAAAACCCAAGGACGCAAGAAAAGAAATACAGAATTTGAAAAACCAGACCCTAGCACTTGTTTCAACAAAAACGTACATAACGATGGAATAAGAGAAACCAAAAAGCAGCCAAGAAGGAGAGCAGCTGTTATGGCTCCTTTGTAGTTTTRTTGGGTGTGTACATTATTCATGTTGACATTTTGCTGC